CAGAGCAATCGATCTGAGTGTCAAGCTGCCAGGGACTGGGCCCTTGCCGGTGTCGATGTAAGGGCTCTTTGGCTCGAGCTACACCGACTCCCGACACAGGAGTTTCAGCGTAGGACTGAGGCTCTTAATGCATACAGGCTGCAATGTTTTGAGGAGGAGGATTCGCAACAAGGGGGTCCTCAGAGTTCTACTTCCAGGAGTGCATTGACGCGGAGCGGCAAGAAGCATCGGAAACGGCACAGATGATGCACATGTGATTGATCCTGCACGCTTGATTTGTCATTGCGTTGCCTTTCTTCATGCCTGTGTGTTGTCGTGCATGCGCGTGTGTTGAATAAGACCTTCGCCTGATCCCTCAAAGTAGGTCATTCGTTGCTTCCTTGATTTGAGTGCTCATTGACCTTTGAACGTGACTTTCCGTGATTTGTCACGTGGTGCCTCAAAGTAGGCCTTTGATCTGGTCGACACCAGGTTTCACCTAGACATGGTTTCACACGTCCAGGTTTCATTTAGGCATGGTGTCAAAGCACACTCGCTATCTCAGTTCTCTTAGTTTCGTGTTCTTTCTCAGTGGTGTTGAGACGGTATTCGCTGTATAAACCAGTGGTTACTGTATGGTCTCTCACTGCTTCTTGCTGTCTTGTACAGCCTCTTTGATCATCTTTGTCGTTTTGTATTCTAGTGTATTGGCAGTCTTGTGCATATCTGTACAGCTTCGCTGTTTGATGCACCTCTGCTTTAATCTTTGCAGCTTCGCTGTCTTCCTGTACAGCTTCGCTGTTTAGGTTCTTTGTGTTTAGGCCTGCTCCCATGGGAGCTCGAACCGGCCTTCGCAAAAGACGCAAAAGACCAGGTTGACGGCTCACCGCCGGTGTCAGCTTTGGACGCTACCAAGTGGACGCTACCAATTCACGAGCCGCCCTCAGTCGGCCGCAGCGCGCGCCGACGTCGTCGGCGGCCTGCGTGATCAGACCGCCGGATCGGGACGTCCGTTCGATTACATATCAGAGTCTGGCCACAGACGACCCAAGACCCAGCCCCAGATCCAGGCTGATCCAGGGGGCGAGGTGAACGGGGGGGGCCATGATCGGATCAGGGCGTCCGTAACTCGTAGAGCTTCCCTTAGCAGGTTATTGCTGGAAGCTTAAGAGTAATTCCGGGGCGCTGGAGAGCTAGTTGGCAAGAAAAATCTCGACGGACCTTTTGGTGATTTTTGGTCGGTTGAAAATTTTGTTCTCCAAATTCAGCAATTCGTTTGAGCTCTAGTATTTTTTCCCATGATATTCGATCTTATTCTTGCTCGCCATCTTCATCTCAGCTCGATCGGGTACCTTTTACTGCCAAAAAGCAGGCAGGCGGGATCGGCCGTTTCAAGTCATCTTGACACGCGATGATGGTTATCTGAACATAACTCGAGCTTTAGAACAGCTACAGAGCTGGTAAGCCCAGCTAATCGAGTGAGAATGATCAGGCGCGTTCGCCTGTTGAGTCTAGAGGTCTGAACTCGTCTGCTATCTGAGCTAGATCCGCAAACCTATTCATATTATTCGAGTCACCTTGACATACGCTCTCGGTTTTCTGTACTTAACTCGAGCTGTAGGACAGCTACAGAGCTGATACTTACAGAAACCGATTCAGAATCATCATTCGCATTTGTCTGTTAAATCCAGAGCTCTGAACTCGGTCTGCTGCCCGATCTAGAATCGCGAAACTATTCGTGTTGTTCGAGTCATCTTGAAGTGCTCTCGTTTTTCTGCACGTAGCTCGGGCTGGGAAAGGGGGCTACAGTGCTGGTGGTCACAGGAATCTATTTGAAGAGATCAGGCGCGTCCGCCTGTCGAATCGAGAGCTCAGAACTCGGTCTGCTGCCCGAACTAGGTTCGCGAAACTATTGTATTGTTCGAGCCATCCTGAGAGGTGCTGTCGGTTTTCTGCACTTAACTCGGGCTGTAGGGGGGCTGCAGAGCTGGTAATCACAGGAGTCGATTTGCAGACATCACACGCGTCCGCCTGTCGCATTCAGAGGTCTGAACTCGATGCTCGAGCTGGGTTGCCAAACTATTTGTTTGTTTCGAGTCATCTTGAGAGGTGCTGTCGATTTACGCACGTAACTCGGGCTGTAGCAGAGCTACAGAGCTCGTAAAGACAATCCAGAAACATCGGGGGCGTTCAGCTGTTGCATCGAGAGGTCTGAAATCGCTTGGGCTGAAAAACTATTCGTTCTCTGCATTTATTTCCACATTATATATTGTCAGGAAGCTCTACGAGCCCCCCGGCGGTAAGAAAGGTTGACGGTTTACCGCCGGCGCCCAGTTCGCTCACCCATGCGCCCAGGGGGGCACTGCGTGGATCCATGATGAGACGCGCAGGGGACGATGGCGGAGGGCGGGCCCGGCCCTGGAAGCCGAGTGGGGGGCGGGGATTGGCGACGCTCGGAACGCGTAACTCGTAGATCCCTTAGCAAGTTGTTGCTGGAAGCTTAAGAGTAATTCCGGGGCGCTGGAGAGCTAGTTGGCAAGAAAAATCTCGACGGACCTTTTGGTGACTTTTGGTCGGTTGAAAAGTTTGTTCTCGAAATTCAACCATTCGTTAGAGCTCTAGTATTTTTTCCCGTGATGTTCGATCTTATTCCCGCTCGCCATCTTGATCTCAGCTCGATCGGGTACGTTTTACTGCCAAACAGGACACGTGCGGGATCGGCCGCTTCGAGTCATCTTGATACGCGCTGTCAGTTTATTGGATTTAACTCGAGATACAGGACAGCTAGACAGCTGGCAAGCACACCGTATCGATTCAGAATGATCAGGCGTGTCCGTGTGTTGCATCTAGAGGTCTGAACTCGGTCTGCTAGCCGAGCTAGGTCCGCAAACCTATTCGTATTATTCGAGTCATCTTGACAGGTGCTCTCGGTTTTTCTGTACTAAACTCGAGATATGGGACAGCTACAGAGCTGATGCTTACAGAAACCGATTCAGAATCATAAGTCGCGTTTGTCTGTTGAATCTAGAGCTCTGAACTCGGTTTGCTGCCCGATCTAGAATCGCGAAACTATTCGTATTGTTCGAGTCATCTTGAGAGGTGCTGTCGGTTTTCTGCATTTAAATCGGGCTGTAGGGGCTACAGTGCAGGTGATCACAGAAATCGATTTGAAGACATCAGTCGCGTCCGTCTGTCGAATCCAGAGCTCGGAACTCGGTCTGCTGCCCGAACTAGGTCCGCGAAGCTATTCGTATTGTTCGAGTCATCCTGAGAGGTGCTCTCGGTTTTCTGCACTTAACTCGGGCTGCAGGGGAGCTGCAGGGCTGGTAATCACAGGAATCGACTCGGAGACATCAGACGCGTCCGCCTGTCGCATTCAGAGGTCTGAACTCGGTCTGATACTCGAGCTGGGTTTGCCAAACTATTTGTTTTGTTCGAGTCATCTTGAGAGGTGCTATTGATTTACGCACGTAACTCGGGCTGTAGGAGAGCTACAGAGCTCATGCAGAAGACAATCCAGAAGCATCGTGGGCGTTCGGCTGTTGCATCGAGAGGTGTGAAATCACTTGTGCTAAAAACTATTCGTTCTCTGCAAGTTTTTTCGACATTATATATTGTCAGGAAGCTCTACGAGTCCCCCGGCGGTAAGAAAGGTTGACGGTTTACCGCCGGGGCCCAGTCTGAAAGTAAACCAAGCTACTCCGAGTCTAATGCTACGCGGAAAACCAAGGCCGCCAAGGCCCCCGGCCGGACCCAGTAACTCGTAGAGCTTCCCTTAGCAAGTTATTGCTGGGAGCTTAAGAGTAATTCCGGGGCGCTGGAGAGCTAGCCGGCAAGAAAAATCTCGACGGACCTTTTGGTGACTTTTGCTCGGTTGAAAATTTTGTTCTCCAAATTCAGCAATTCGTTTGAGCTCTAGTATTTTTTCCCATGATATTCGATCTTATTCTTGCTCGCCATCTTCATCTCAGCTCGATCGGGTACCTTTTACTGCCAAAAAGCACACGGGCGGGATCGGCCATTTCGAGTGTCGGTATATTGGACTTAACTCGAGATACAGGACAGCTACAGAGCTGGTAAGCACACCTTATCGATTCAGAATGATCAGGCGCGTTCGTCTGTTGCATTCAGAGGTCTGAACTCGGTCTGCTAGCCGAGCTAGGTCCGCAAACCTATTCGTATTATTCGAGTCATCTTGACAGGCGCTCTCGGTTTTCCCTACTTTACTCGAGCTATAGGACAGCAACAGAGCTGATACTTACAGAAACCGATTCAGAGTCATCAGCCGCGTCTGTCTGTTGAATCCAGAGCTCTGAACTCGGTTTGCTGCCCGCTCTAGAATGGCGCATCTATTCGTATTGTTCGAATCATCATGAGAGGTGCTGTCGGTTTTCTGTACTTAACTCGAGTTCTGGGGTAGTTACAGTGCTGGTAGTCACAGGAATTGATTTGGAGACATCAGGCGCGTTCGACTGTCGAATCCATAGCTCGGAACTCGGTCTGCTGCCGCGAACTAGGTCCGCGAAGATGCTGTCGGTTTTCTGCGGGCTGTAGGGGGGCTGTAGGGCTGGTAATTGCAGAAATCGATTCGGAGACATCAGACGCGTCCGCCTGTCGCATTCAGAGGCCTGAACTTGGTCTGAAACTCGAGCTGGATTGGCCAAACTATTCGTATTGTTCGGGTCATCTTCAGGGTTGCTGTCGATTAACGCACGTATTTCGGGCTGTAGGAGAGCTAAAGAGCTCGTACAGAAGACAATCCAGAAGCATCGGGGGCGTCCAGCTATGCATCGAGAGGTTTGAAATCGCTTGGGCTGAAAAACTATTCGTTCTCTACATTTTTTTCGACATTATATATTGTCAGGAAGCTCTACGAGTCTTCCGGCGGTAAGAAAGGTTAACGGTTTACCGCCGGCGCCCAGTTGGGCGCGTCTTGGGTTGCGGGGGTTGGGGGGCTTTGGCGTTTGCGACGCGATCGTCGCCTGGGTCGGCTGCTGTGTCACCGTTCGCCGCCGCCCGAGGCATTGGCATCCAAGCGCGGGGAATTCCTGCGCGACCCCGTGGGGGCAGCAGAGCAGGGCCCGAAGTGGCCGCTGGTTCATTTCGTATCACTCCAGAGCAAGTCAGATTTTTGGGCCAAGCTGATCTCGTTCCCTGGCGGCGACCTCATCAGCGCATATCCTGGTCGCCTGCGGACGGTCATCCAAATCCAACACGCACAACCCCAGGGCCAGGGCCCCATCCTATCACCTATCTCCCCCTCCTCCTCCTCCTCCCCCACCTCCCCCTCCCCCCCCTCCTCCTCGGAGGAGGGGGAGGACGAGGCTCCTCCTCCCCCTCCTCCCCCCCCCCTCTCCTCCTCCCCCATCGTCGTCCTCCTCCTCCTTCTCATCATCGTCCTCGCCTCCTCCTCCTCCTCCTCCTCCTCCTCCTCCTCCTCTCTCCTCCTCCTCCTCCTCCTCCTCCTCCTCCCCTCTCCTCCTCCTCCTCCTCCTTCCTCTCCTCCTCCTCCTCCTCTCCTCCTCCTCCTCCTCCTCCTCCTCCTCCTCCTCCTCCTCCTCCTCCTCCTCCTCCTCCTCCTCCTCTCTCCTCCTCCTCCTCCTCCTCCTCCTCCTCCTCTCCTCCTCCTCCTCCTCCTCCTGCCCCTCCTCCTCGTCCTCCCCCCTCCTCCTCCCTCCCCCTCCTCCTCCTCCCTCCCTCCTCCTCCCTCCTCCTCCTCCTTCTCCTCCTCTCCCTCCTCGTCCTCCTCCTCCTCGTCCTTTCCTCCTCCTCGTCCTTTTCCTCTCCTCCTCCTCCTCCTCCTCCTCCTTCTCCTCCTCCTCCTCCTCTCCCCCCTCCTCCTACTCCTCCTCCGCCTCCAACTCCTCACCTCCTCATCTTTCCTTCCCCTTCTGGTTGGGCCCCTATCTGCCCTCTCTGCCTGCCTTGTCCGGTCGCACTGAGTCCTGATTCCTGACCTGCCCAGTCACCTTCTCCTGGTTCTCGCCGCCACCCGAGGGTCCAGGCAGGGGCCAAGACTCACGTGCCCTAGTCGCGCGGCTCCGCCCCCGCCTGCGCCGCGCTGCGCCGCGGAGGTCTCATGGACGTCGGCGCGCGCGAGTGGAAAGCCCTGCAGATCTCCATCTGAAGGGCCGCATTATCATTCACGAATCGGGGCTGGACGCCGCGCCCGAGATTGCAAACCGCCCGCCGATCCAGATCTGCGCATGACGGATTTAGCCCAGCCGCTTCACATAATCCGGTCCAATGCACCACGCGCGACGCTGCCGATTACTCCCAAAGCCACGTTGCGGCTACCGCAGCGCGGGCGCTTGCTTCTGGGGCTAGAGATCACGTGGCCTCACGAGGCAGCAAAAAGGGAAACCGGGCGGCGGGGCAAAGGCATTGGTAATTTTTCCTCCTCTGATCACCGCTTCATCCCGCCCCTCGGTTGTGATCTGCGCCCTCGCCGCCCTCGGCCACTTCGTATCCTCGCCGGCGGGCGGGGCCGACGTGGCCGACGCGGGTCGGCATCGGAGCGCCAGCGGTTGGGGCCGTCGGGCGGGCATCTGAGGAGGCCTGCTGCGCCTCGCCCAGAGGCAGCGCCAATTTGCCTGGCCTCCGCAGCGGCCGCAGCGCCGCAGCCGCAGGCCGCCTTGCGGGCCTGCAGCCGCAGCAGCAGGATCGACTTGGTAGCGCCCAAAACCCGGATAGCAAAGAGGCACTCACACAAACGAGCACACGCACATGAGCACGCACGCACGGGCCCACACATGCAACACGAGGACACAAACGCACGCCAGCATGCTCAGCACACACGCACACACACACACACGCACACACACAACACACATCCACGCGCACAGGTCGAAACACACGCGCGAACGCGCACACACACAAACACACAACATCTCACATACACACCCACGGACGCGCACACGCACGCAAATCACGCCAGCGCACACGCACCACGCGCCCCCAGCCTCCCCGCCGGCGCTCCGGAGGGGGAGGCACCGCCCCATTTTGGGGCCGGACCTCCCTCCACTCCAGCCACTCCGCCCTCGCGGAGCGCCGGAGGGAGGGGAGGGGGGGGGGGGGCAAAGCCCGGGGGTGCCAGCGCCGCGCGCGCACACAAGCAGACACACACCCACGCACTCACACGCATACACACGCGGACAGACACAGAGACACACAGACACACAGCCACACAGAAACACAAACGCACAGACACACACAGACACAGAGACACACACACGGACACACTGACACACTGACACACAGACACACTCACTCACAGACACAGAGACACATAGACATACAGACACACAGGCACACAGACACACAGACACACAGACACACAAACACACAAACACACAGACGCACAGACACACGGACACACAGACACACAGAGACGCAGACACAGACACAGACACACAGACACACAGACACGCATACACACGGACACACATACACATACACACAGACACACGGACACACGGTCACACAGACACAGACACACAGACACACAGACACACAGACACACTGACACACTCACAAACACTGACACAGTGACACATTGCCACTGCCACACTGACACGCCGACACACAGACACACAGACACACAAACACACAGCCACACAGACGCAGAGACACACAGGCACACGACACACAGACACACATACTCACAAAAGACACAGACACACAGACACACAGACACATAGACAAAAAGGAACACAGACACACGGACACGCAATCCTCGAAGTCGCCCAGCCTCCACCGCCCACCGACGAGGCCGGCGCCGCCAACGTCGCGCTGGCCCCCCAGAACCGTCGGCAGCGGCGGCCACTCCCGCACAGAGATGCTCACGCCCACACGCAAACACCCGCACACACACACACACGCACGCAAACACTCACGCAGACACAGACACACGCACACGCACATACACACACACGCAAACGCACACCAGCGCACACGCATGCCAGACACAGACACACAGACACGCTGACACACAGACACAAGACACACAGACACACAGAAACACGGACACACAGACACACAGACACACAGACACACAGAGACACAGACACACAGACACAAAGACACACAGGCACACAAGCACACAGTCACACAGACACACGGACACACAGACACACAAGCGCACGCACACACAGACACAGAGACACACAGACACACAGACACGCGCACACAGAGACACACAGACAACGCCCCGCCCGCCCGACCCGCCCGAGTGGGGTCTGTCCGCCCGACCCGCTCTCTGGCGGGCCCGCCCGTTTGCCTGCTTTCAAGTCCGCCCACCCGCTCTAGTGTCCCGCCCGATGCGCCTCTCAGGTCCGCCTGCCCGCCCCCCTCCCGCCGCCCGACCTGCCCGCTGGGGTGAGCCCGCCGGGCCTGCCCGTGAAGGTCCGCCCGCTCGCCTGCTTAGGAGCCTGCCCGCTCGTTTGAGTGGTCTGCCCGCTCGGCCCCCGCATTCGGTCCCGCCCGCGCGGCCAGCCTTTGGATCCGCCGGCCTGGCCGCCCGTGAGGGTTCGCCGGCCGATCTTCCGGTTCTTTTCTCCCCCCTCCCTGCCAAGTCCTTCTCGTTCTCAGTCCTCCTTTCTCCCTCCCGCCCCCTCCCTGCTCGTTGCGTCGTTTCTTTTTTCGCTCTTTCCCACATCCTGAGTGGGGTGCTCGTTTTCCCAGAACATCCTCTCCTTCTCCCCCGCCTCCCGCCTCCCATATCAATACCATGCCTACCATTCCAACCTGCCACATTGCCTACCATTCCATACCATACCATACCTAGCATACCAATACCATATCATACCATACCATACCACACCACACTACCAAACAATACCATACCTGAGCGAGGAGGGTATTGGAAACCCATACTATTTACATGGTTTCGTGCTCCTGCCACCCCTCCAGAGAGGCCCCGCCTGAGCGAGGAGGGTATCGGAATCCCATACTATTTACATGGTTTCGTGCCCCGCCCACCCCTCCAGGGATGCCCCGTCTGAGCGAGGAAGGTATCGGAAACCAATACTATTTACATGGTTACGTGCCCCTCCCACCCCTCCAGGGAGGCCCGCCTGAGCGAGGAGGTATCGGAAATTTATACTATTTACATGGTTTCGTGCCCTTCCCACCTCTCCAGGGAGGCCCCGCCTGAGCGAGGAGGGTATCGGAAACCCATACTATTTGCATGGTTTTGTGCCCCTCTCACCCCTCCAGGGAGGCCCCGCCTGAGCGAGGAGGGTATCCGAAACCCATACTATTTACATGGTTTCGTTCCCCTTCCTCCCGTCCAGGGAGGCCCCGTCTCAGCGAGGAGGGTATCGGAAACCCATACTATTTACATGGTTTCGTGCCCCTCCAGTCCCACCAGGGAGGCCCCGCCCGAGCGAGGAGGGTATCGGAAATCCGTACTATTTACATGGTTTCGTTCCCTTTCCACCCCTCCAGGGAGGCGCCGCCTGAGCGAGTTGGTATCGGAAACCAATGCTATTTAAATGGTTTCGTGCTCCTCCCACCCCTCCAGGGAGGCCCCGCCTGAGCGAGGAGGGTATCGGAAGCCCGTGCTATTTACATGGTTTCGCGCCCCTCTCACCCCTCCAGGGAGGCCCCGCCTGAGCGAGGAGGGTATCGGAAACCCATACTGTTTACATGGTTTCGTGCCCTTCCCACCCCTCCAGGGAGGCCCCGCCTGAGCGAGGAGGGTATCGGAAACCCATATTATTTACAGGTTTCGTGCCCCTCTCACCCCTCCAGGGAGGCCCCGCCTGAGCGAGGAGGGTATCGGAAACCCATGCTATTTAGATGGTTTCGTGCCCCTCCCACCCCTCCAGGGAGGCCCCGTCTGAGCGAGGAGGGTATCGGAAACCCACGCTGTTTAAATGGTTTCGCGCCCTTCCCGCTGACATGGGTGAGGAGGAGGGGAGAACACTACCTATCCATCTCACGTCCTACTCCTCCCACTGAGGAGGGTGAGGAGGAGGGGGAGTTCTGCGATGAGGAAGGCTTCATCATGATGATGGTGATGACGATGGTTATGCTGCTGTTCACGATGACGATGACGATGGCGATAATGGTGATGGACGATGACGATGGCGATAACGGCGATTATGATGATGATGCTGATGATGATGACGATGATGATGATGATGATGATGACGATGACGATGACGACAACGACGACGACGAGGATGATGATGCAGATGCTGGTGATGATGACGATGCTGCTGCTGATGCTGACGTTGCTGGTGCTGCTGATGATGACGACGATGATGCTGATGATGATGACGTCCACGATGATGCGGACGATGATGATGACAAGGACGGTGATGGATGATGATGGCGATGATGATGATGATGCTGCTGCTGATGATGATGATGATGATGATGATGATGGCGACGACGATGATGATGATGACGATGACGCTGACGATGATGATGCTGATGATGATGAGGATGATGATGATGGTTATAATGATGTCGATGATGCTGACGACGACGATGATGATGATGATGATGATGATGATGATGATGATGATGATGATGATCATGATGATGATGATGATGAGGATGCTGATGATGATGATGATACTGATACTGATGATGATGATGACGATTCTGCTGATGATGATGACGATGCTGGTGATGATGATGATGATGATGATGATGATGATGATGATGATGATGATGATCATGATGATGATGATGATGATGATGATGATGATGATGATGATGATGATGATGATGATGATGATGGTGATGATGATGATGCCGAGGATGAGGAGGAGGAGGAGGAGGGACACGTGGGCCATGCAGGAAAGGAGTGCAGGACTGCGGACGCGGCGGGAGAACAGTAGCAGGGGATAGACAGATCGGCTCAAGTGCGCTGCCCCACCACCTGCTCTCGTACCCACGACACACCATGACGGGAATATTCACCCAATCCTCCGGCGCTCGCCGTTAATATCTTTATGTGGGGAACTCCGTTAGCATAATTCCTTTTTTCCTCCCCTCGCCTGTCGATATTTAGCAGGCCGCGTCATCTACGCGCGGCAGGCACGGAAGCTATCCAGCTGCCTGCGGCAAGTCCCACCACCGTTCCAGTCCGGCGTTCTGGGTGGCGATAGTTCG